CATTCTTACAAAATTTTTGATATATTTTATCAATCTAATTATTAGTTGTTTGGACTCCCTTACCAATCGCTCGTGTGATTATATTATACCTCACAACCAGTAGTCTTGAGATTATCCCTACGCAGACTCAACAATCGATCATGTAATTAGATCATGTAATTACATTATACCTCAGAGTACCCGAGTTTAATCCTATGGTAAAATCATGTAATCTTGTGATACATCATTTAATAAAGAAGGGTAAGTTTCTTGAAACCGTCATAAAATACTTCAGAGGAGAAGAATACCGTAAACTTTACAGAAAAATATCATTGGTACATAGCTGATTCCAAATTTTCCTCAAGCGTTCACGAAGTCCAAGATTGCATCTAGCCTTTGGAGGACTGAGTCAGACTGCACCCAGTAGCGGTTAGACTCAAAGCCGCTTGGCTCAGTGTTACATGTCTCATTTGGGAGTCACGCACACACTAGTAAGAAAGAGTTGCAGGAGATTGCTTATGGGGTTATGGATGGTAATGTTAAACTTTTCGCGGGTTTCTAGACCCGATACCGTTAGCTCAAACGAACCCGATCCACTGCCGAAGGGTTTTGTTGAGGAGACCGGAGATAGAGGGAAAGTCGTTGACATGGTGTCGTCAGATTAAAGTGCAGGGTCTGTTTCTGATTAGCCTCTGTTTATTAGCATGTAACGGTGTCATGTGTCATGTTAAATAATTGAATTCCTTTTTTTTCCAGCTTTGTATAAATCTTTATCCTTCGATTCAACATCGACAACAAAGCCTCATGCACACGCACCCCAAGTGGCCTCGAGTGTGGGGCCTAGGGTCTAGGCTCAAAAGGCCAATCATCGATCCGTGCTCACAGCATGTCTATCCCCGATTTCTAATTATTAAGCATTGCAACGATTGTGCTAGTCACATGGATCTAGACTGTGAAATGGGAGCAACAAGCCCCAAGGTTTTTACTTAGCTGGTACTAAGCTAAGGTTCCTCGGAGGAAAAAAAATATAGAGCCTTTATTCTGTATTTTTCAATTATTTATATAAATATTATTCTTGCATTTGCAGTATGCCAGACAGCTATCATCTTTATCTTATAAGACTACCACCTCCCTATTTGCACAACTAAGAATAGCACAGGCAAAACTTTACTATCAGCATACTCAATACTTTTGTCACAACCAACTTGAACTTCCTTGAAGCTTGGCAATGGGAAAACTGTTGGCTGAGAGTTTACTGTGCAGTTACAAATGTACAGCACATGGAATCAACTAATCCAAATCTGGTCTAAAGATGTAATGCTTCCACATGTAGCAAGATCATCAGAGAAATTACAGCAAGCTCCTACAGCAATCTAGTTTTTACCATGAGTTTGACAAAACAACAAAGGGCTTGAAATAGCAGCTACAGTATCAATGTACTGACCTTATCTAAGTAATCAAACAAAAGTAACAACATTCCAAAGGTATTGTACAAATAACTAACTGAAGTACCAAACAGTACATAGAAAAGTAAATTTTTTGGAAGAGAGACCATTAGTCTTTGGTGATACTTGCTATATTCATGTAAATAAGAAAACACTCACACTGTTTAAATATTTGCATCTTTCCAAATTCAGCTATTCATAGAAGGTTTTCTGCTTTCAATTTTTTTACACGTACAACAAAAAGGAATTACGAAACCAAAACAAAAGATTAAAGTCACCTTGAGGTCGCCGTATACATTCCAAGCCAACAAAATATCCATCTGCTGAGTTTTTCTCTTATACGAAACCGAAGCAGAACAAACAAGAGTATATGATACCCCCCGGCCATCAGAAATAGCACAAGAAGATTGTCCCACTTCGCATTTCTCGAATAAGAAATGTCGTAAGAACCACGAACAGCTTGTACTCCAGGAATAGCCCTCACTTGTCCAACTGCAAATGAGGTACCAATGTACTCATTCTCCAAGAGTCCCTGCAGTATTAAATTTCCAAAAATTGTATCAGATGTGAAGAACATGAGAAAGTATCCACTAGTCTCAGTCTGTGTCATTAATGGTGCATCAAATTGATGTTTGTACTTGAATTAGTGGAGTTAGGATTTGTACAATAATCCAAGGGTCAATATACATTTGGGGTATTATTACATCACGCACCAAGAACACTAGATACTTTCTCGCTGAACAAGGTTTTATGTTGTCTGTAGCTCAATACATGTACATTATCTATACAATGAGAGCATCACAGGGTTTTTTTTATCCCCGCATAGTACTTGAGTGGATTTGGATCCGCACCACTACCAAAACCTAGTGAATGGAACACTACCTTTTATTCCAACCATTGATTATTTAATGGATCGGTTGAGAAGGGTTGTGGCTTGTTTCAAATATAACACTTACCATTCCCCATGAACTACACACATTCCTATATTACAGTCAAGAAGACAAATTGCAACCAAGCATTAAACATCAACAACTGAAATTAAAAGTAGCGGTCTCTCCACTACTTCTTAGTAGTACTAGTCAACTTAAGCTACAGTACACGCAATAGAAGTCAGGAGAAAACTACCTGAATGGAGTAAGTGTGAAATGCAACATAAGATAATGGGTACTTCCAAACGGGTTGGGGAAGGTTATACCGGATCCTGAAATATCCTGCCACAAGCGTCATTAGAACCTGGGAATTAAGAGCAAGAGCAATTTTGATATAATATTAGTATTTTCTTTTGAATTATGAAAATAAATGCTAAAGTCATTGTAGAAGAGAATGTGGATACTTACATGAACGAGGATCATAGTCATAATAGAAGAGAAGGTGTTGAGCCAGATATATGCAACAACCATCATAAGCCCTTCATTTGCTAATAAACACATGAAGATGTTCAGAACAAAATACATTAACAAGCTGAACTCCTCCCTCAAACCAACCAGGAAATAGAAGACTAAAGTTGAGGTTATGGAAATGAGGAACAGGAAAGGAATGCTTGAGAGGAAATGACCAAGCAAGAAAACTGCTGCTCCTGAGTGTTGGTTTGATTGCTCATGGAAAAATATCTGCATAGATTAATTTTCATTCAGAATACAACTTTATAAAGGCAGATCAAACAGAATAATACAAAAAAGAATTAATCAATATATGTGACATGACAAAGTAAAACATGGGTGCATTTTGTTAGTGGGGCTAGAACTTTTCTTGAATGAAGACATTTCTATGGAAAAAATAGAACATCTTCAAATAGAACATTTTTAAGTATACAAAACTGCTTTAAATTTGTGGCTACCATGTCAAAGGACCCTTCCACTACACTAAAACTCCAAACTAAAACTCCAAAGTTATGGTGAGAGTTGAGGCTTATAATCCTTATGTCTTGATAGTGCACAAAAACTCCAAAGTTGAGGTGACAGTTGAGATTATAATTTTATATTCTTACATGTCCTTGCCAGCTGAGAGCCCTTTTTATGGGAAAAAATATGGACTCACACAGCGGTATCATTTTTTTAGAATCCATTTTAAACTCGTAGTTGGTGGAAATTGAACCTCGGTTACTCTAGTACAATCTTAAAGTCCCTACCACTACACCAAAATTCTAAAGTTATTGTAAGGGTTGACAGTTATAATTTTATATTCCAACAATAATTTTAATACACAGATGGAAGCAGATTCCTTTGCACAAAACCTTCTCTTGTTTTTTTGTCCAACTTTCATACAAGAAGTAAATTGTAAACCAGAAAATAAGTGCTAATCCATAGGCATCTTGTTTGTATTAAATCAAAACGTGAGACTGCTTCGATGGAAGGTAACCAGATTCTAATGCTATATATGATCTGCTTGGTGGCCCGTCTAAACCATGTTGAAGAAATAACACCATGAAGAGGAACTTACAAGTTTTTACTGGTAAAAAGGGCTTGGACCAACAAGCCCAGACCAAAAACTAAATCATTCGGGGTTCGGGGCCAGAGATCCTATAGTATGGACCAGTCTTAATTTTGGTAGTTCTCATTAATATATATTGCATTTCGTTTCCTGATTATATTTAGATTCAGGTAGGGTTATATAATATGAGGGCCATCTTATGTGAAATTTATGATATTTTGATTTCAATAGTTTCTTTTGCAGAATTATATTCCTGCCAGCTAACCAATGCATCAGATTCTAGAAATAGTATGTGCAATAAGGAAACTGTCCCTGATAACTTGCACTCATTGAAAAAGACAGTCTTTCATTAAAAATTTCTACAATTGATCTTTGATGCACAAGCATGTTCACATTGTTTTAGTTCATGATAAAAACCATGAGGCTAAGGCTAGAGGGTGTAAACAAACTATGATACGGCAATCAGATAAGGCTTGAAAGCATGAGATCATTTGTATATGTCGTTTTTTAAAAGAGTAGTTCCCAGCAAAGAATTGCTAAAGGAATTTATTATGATTTTAGTCCATAACCACCATATCTACTCTGTTAACATACTATAAGTTAACTGTATCAGATTTATACATCAAAATCATATATATATATATAAGATTATTTAGCTTCAACAGTTGTGTTTAGCCAATAGCGTGGTGTCATGTACACCTATATTAATATATAATCGTACACTAATTGGCCCGTCCCAAAATAGTAAGAGAACCTTGAAGGGACAATCTTGCCTTTCCAAGATAAGCACTGGGAACTATATGGAATAATTTAATGCAGAAAAACTATTTTCTCAGCAAGTACGCTTTCAGCAATGCATAGAATATAGGTATTAAGGCATGGCTGGACAGCCTTCGTTCAGAAAAGAAGAAAATGAAATGGAGACAGGACTATAAGATGTAGAAGGCAGAATGAAAATAATGATAATAGATGCTACATAGACAATGTTAGTTAAAAATAAACCTTTGCGAAAGGAAGTTATCTTAAAATTACTATTAAAAGATGAGGGATAGAGTAAGTACCTTGAGTTCTTTTATATGAGCAGGCAACCCGGCAATGCTGAGCAATAAGATAAATGATACAAAGACAAAGATGGCTGAAACTCTTACCTGCGGTTATTTGAAAAATAAGATCATCACGAAACTTGTATACATTTATCTTAGCCTCTCAAGGATTTATGCACTTGTACCAAGTTAGATAATCCCTTTATGCAAAAGCTAAAACTGATGAATGGCGGATTAAAAATGTATATCCAGCAAATTTATCATTGAGATACATTGTACATGCAAGAGATGCGATCTCCAGTTCGACCATGCTAGGTTCTAAAAAAGATAAGGGCAAAGTTCACAAAACCCCCTAAAGCTTGGGGGTCTCATAGAAAACCCCCTAAACTTTTGGGTGTCTCACAAAACCACCATAGACATTCAAATATTTCCGATGTAGCCCCCAAACGGTGTTAATGGCGTCACAGGTTGTCATTTTGATTGCGTAGGAAATTAGTGTTTGTTGATCCATCATTAGGGGTTTTTTAAGAAAAAAAACTTGGTTTTTTTTTTGGTGGGGGGGGGTGTTGTCAGATATCCCAAAGCTCAGGGGGTATTTGGTAGGAAAGTTCAGTGGGGAACTCCTGAAAGTTCAGGGGGGTTTGTAAAACTTACCCAACAAATAAATTCAAAATAGGAAGTTACTTCATTGGCTGAATGTAGTTGAAAATCAAAAGATGCAAATTATGATGTATCACAAGTACAGAAAAGTATAAGTATTTTTCCATAATAAGTCAAGAAACTTTGGTGGACTTACCATTACTGATGACAGAGTGTGGCCAACGTTTGAAAATATAGTACCAACAGAAAGCGTGAGAAGCATATACAGAACAAGCCGGATCCAGAAGTATTTCCATTCCCTTGACATAATTACCAAAGACCTCCATGTTAATACTGCAATTCGAGTTGCATCACTAGCTCTTCCCTTACTTTTAAGACAAGGACCTTCCTGCAAAATATAGGTTGCAGAGAATTCATTAAGCAGAACAAAGGACCATTCATCAAACATTCAAATCTACTGTTTCGTAAAGTTAAGTAAGTTTGGGTTCTTTATTGTTCTACCTATGACCTAAAGACCAAGTTTTGTAATTTCAAATAAGGGTAAATTTCATATAACCCCCTTCTTCATCTATACCTTCACTTGCACTTATCACCCAGCAGCTATTTGTCTAGCACTCAGAATACACATTTTGAGAAGGATAACATTGCAGATA